CGAAATCGAACAGCGAATTTGATGTACTCATTCGTAGGAGGAACAAACCCATTCTAATCGACTTTATTATTGAAACATTCGCGTACGAATTAAGAATCCACTTAAAGTTTGAGTTCAACATTCACTTTTGCGACTTAAGTTGATAATATGTTTACTGTGGTTTCAAGTGAATATTTACTCGTTTCAAGTAATATTCGAAGAGTCTTTTCAACATGAAGAGACGAATTATATTGCATTCAGTTGTTTCAGCTGACGTTTCTTGACTACAGAACGAAGTTATTCTAACACACTGTACTGGTTTAAATTAACACCTCTATATGTGCTCCAACATCATATATCGTATCTTACTGTATCTTACCGTAACTTCAAATAAAGAGACAAATTATCACGTTCAGTTGCTGCGGCTAACGTTTCTTCACTATAGGACGAAGTGATTCTAACACACTAAACTGGCAGTTTAAATTAACACACATACGTGCGTTAAGGTGTGTTGTGTTAAATACACTTAATTTTTTGTAGTGAAGAGATGCCAGTCGAAACAACCGAAGGCGGTACATTTCCCCGAACGCGATATCCACGTTATTTTTACACGTGTGAGTCGCGAGGTGTGATCTCATGGTTTACCAACTGGCAAGGAAGTGGATGAAACCTCAGTGCATACAGAAGACGCGAGAAGAACGAAGCCTTTCGTAGGGGTAAGTGTACCTGCGGTCCGTCGGTGGAAGTCGCTGGCGTCGGTCTAGGAGTGAAACTGAAACGGGGATAGGTAGGATGCCATTGGAATAAGATCGGGTTTAGCCGCAGCGTCGAGTTCGAGCCCCGGATAAGTCTGCCTTATCCCGATAAGCCGGTGAGTTAATGAATCACAAAACAGGTGGTGGCGCTGCCAACGGCAGAAGAGGACCGTCTTCGTCGTCGTCTCGATGATCGCTCTATACGTGCGACTGAATTCGCCCGCCGTCGAATAACGTTACTTTACGATGAACATCAAATGCGTCCTCGTCGTCTATCCGATGCGACGGACATCTTCCTCGAGCCTAGTTCGAATCGGGAGTGTTTTTGCAACGCGGACAACATCGAGTGTTTCTGCGCGAACAATATGAATAAATGAAGCTTATTCGGATTTTGGAGTTCTTTATAAGAATAATAACAATGGAGTGCACAAAAGAAAGGGAGAATTGCAACGTGGTGGAAAAATGTTCGCTCCAGATTTCTTGGAGTGAAATTTCACTCGGAAAGTGGAGTGAAATTTCACTCGGAAAGTGAAGTGACCACCGAAAGAAAGTGAAGTGACCGAATTTGAGCGAATTTTCATTCATACAGAGTGAATTTTGCACTCTGAATCGTTGAAAGAGTGAGTGTTTTTACTATAAAATTAAAAGGTGAATCTGGTATATTCCGCTGTCGCAGGAACAATTCAATCTAATCGACTGAGATATTCGCTCATGTGGAGACGGAGAGAAAATCACTACGTTCAGTAGTGAAGAAACGTTAGCCGAAGCAATTGAATGTGGTATGATTCGTCTCTTGATGTTGAAGATGTTGAAGAAACGATATTTTTATATTAAGGGACGATATATGATGTTGGCACACGCGTAGCTTGTTAATTAAAACTGCTAGTATAGTGTGTTAAAAATGGAGACATGTTAACATTATAACATTAAATTTGAGTGATTTGATCTTGTAATTTCTTGGAGAAGATTGCGTCCCGAGGAATGTAGAGAGTTCCTTCTTAAAATAATATGAAGTGATAAGTTCCATGAATAATAAACAACGCGGAATTATGTCAGACGTACTGAAACAGTCAGGCACACTGACAAAAGATATCTAAGAAATAGTAAATATTTACTCGGTAGGCGTGTATATATACATATATATATATATATATATATATATATATATATATATATATATATATATATAT